ATACTTTTTGAAGTATTAAGATGAAAAATTACATTACATGAAGAAAGGTTCGGAACCCAAGCAGCATTATTTTTGCTACCACATTATAATGATGTCAAGTTTGATAGCAAGGCAAGGAGCAATTTTAGATGAGGTATTCAATGTTATCTATTGTGAACTTATCAAAAATTTTGTTAAATGAACTTAAACAAGCCATTATCTTACAATAACTTCACATACTTGCCAGCTCTCCCTAATTTCGAGTAAGACTCCCGGTTCCGGGCCCTAAAACTTCAGCAGTTTCAACCAGTGAATTTGCTAAACTATTTCATTTCATCTGAAAGAACAACTCAAAAGATGCCATATACAAGTGTTAACTTTCCTCCTAGGATGTACACACACACATTTTATCTCTGTTTTTAATTTAGAGCATGTGTTATTACCCAAATGGAAATTTTAGAAAGTTGGCAAGTAAGATTTATTATCACATGAGGAAAACATAAAATGTTCAAACTTGCTTAGTTTTAATGACTAAATTTTCATTTTAACAATAAACTATGGCAGCACTGAATGCAGTGGTTATGAAAAACATTGGTAGGTCAGTATGAAATTTGAAAGATAGCAATCATTTGATGCAATAATAACCAAATGTTAAGGACTAAATTTTCATTTGCAAGATTCTACACAATGTGGCAGAAACTGAAAAACTCCAAATTTTTTAGGAGCACGTAGAGGGGATATAAAGTCCTCTCTTATACAAGTGCAATCATATGGAATGGTATCCTACCAGTTGAGTTGAGTAATTCCAATCTTCGAGTCTGTTGCCAACATGACACAGCGCCACCTGCTTGTCTAAAAAAACAGGCAACAAAGTGAGAAACCTGCTTGTCTAAAAAACAGGCAACAAAGTGAGAATCTCCTCCCTAAATGTGCGTAAAGAGACTGTGCCCAACCAACAGCTGCTTGCTTGCAAACTCATACCTTTCAACCTAGTGCAATACTTTTTTAACTAATATTTCTTGTATACAGATTTTAATTACAGTACACATGACACCTGAGTGCTGATGAGTGTTATTTACATGTAACCGTTACAAAATTAATGCTACAAGCAACACACTATATTATGGCCACCATAAACAGACATTTAAACACACAACATATTGAAAGACACTGCATTATGGAATATATATAATCAATGAAGTGAAAAATAGAAACTTTGAAGGGCAAGACAAGATATGATAGTACCGTAACTAGAAGATTCTAGAAATCTGATGTGAAACGAACTTATCAGACCTTTCAGTTTCAAATTCACAAAACTGCTTTTTCACATTTTATTCATACATGTGTTTTTAACCAATGAAATATTCAGGAAAATCAAACATTAATCACAACCTTCCTCCATGTAAGCATACAATGTATCAAAAAGCTCATTTTATAGATGTGGTTTCAAATAAAAAATTCACTTCAAAATTACAACTGTAACATTGTAGCAAGTTATATAATATGTTTAGATGTATACACATTGTATAATTTGAGTACCACAACAGCACTTGGAGTAGTCTCCCTTAAGAGTAATCTCCCTTTGTGTAAAGAAGATGAAACAAAATTATTTGTTCTGGCTTTCAGTTACTGTGTACCCTGAAAAGTTTCACCAAGTCAAATTTTTGCCCATTAACTGGTAAAATTAATATTGCCCCAGTGTTAATTTTAACATTCACATGTACAATGTGATTTATGTCCAAAGTTTAACCCCTACATATTTTTTTTGTAGTTCTATCCCTGACTACGGTATTTTCAGAATACTCCTGTAGAAAAGGTCTCGGGTCAAATGCATGTACATATACTTCATAAAAGTGACAATGGTAATATATAATTTGAATTTAGACTTATGGTTCCTTTTTTGAGTAGGATTGTATTAGTACCATGTTGCCAGCATACAAATACAAATATGAACTTGAGCAAGGCTACTTTTTGTAACTATTGGACAGTTCAAATGCATGCAAAATGCTGGTAATTTTTTTTTTTTAATTTCACAAAGAGAAGTCAAATTTTCTGAGGATTTATAACAATCAGAATTATTTTTTATCAAAATTTGGACTTATTGTTGTCATGTAATATTTTCCAAAATAATTAATTGTAAAAAGTTCAAAATTATAAATTATTCATCTTAATTCCAAGGCACATGTGAGATATGATCACTGCTATTGATTAGTTTTGATACATTTTAGATATTGCTTTACGTAGGTAATATGCCAACATATAATTCTCCAAGCTGTCAAGCCATACAAAATCATAACCTGAAAATTAAAAAAAAAATATGTGAGTCTGCACATAAACCTTTAACAAGAACCAAACAAATTCAACGTAAACTGATGATCAGTCACACAAAAATTGATGACAAACTACTACACTAAACGGAAAAAAATGCAGAGTCTTAATATTCAAAGCATTTTGTTACATTACAGCTGTAGCTTTATGAAAACCAGTATTCAATGAGAGAAAACTTTTCAAACAAGTTACGATTGATCATCACATTTTATGTTTTACCACTCAACAAGATCATCAGAAAGAAACGAAATCATGTTCACAGCTTTTTAACATTAGTTCAGGTGTGCAGTGACATTTGAGCAACACAACATTTTACATGTGACCAGTACACCAGGTAGCTTCATAGACAGTAGAGAAACATAGTCTGTTTTTTCAGTTCAGTATTTGTCTGGTACTGTTTACCGGTATAATGGTTTATTTACAATTACCAAACAGGCAAATTGCTATAACCTTGCATGACAGAGGTCGTTCTTTTTTTCCCCCAATGCCTAGGAGTTGAACACAGGACCTCTGGTTTACAAGTCTTACGCTCTTCTAATTGGGCTAAAGAGAAATTCTCCCTAGCCGAGTCGGTAGGTAGCGGCTAGTATTTTACCAGGGTGACATGTACAGTAGTCGTATGAACATGATGTGAACATTCAAATAATCCTGGGTATTTTCTACAAATTAACTACACTACAACATTTCCTGATAAACGAATCATAAGTTGTTATATTATATAAATATACAAAACTGTAAAGACATGCAGGAAATATATCAAACTAGGTGCATGTAAATGTAAAATGTTGGTTTTTTTTAAGATTATATTTTTAAGTGTTGTGAAAGGTTAAGCCCTAACCACTCTTCAAACAAACAAAATAAACAAACAAAAATGAAATTTCAAACTAAACATTCTAGTTGAATATCAAGAATTTATTGGAAAGTGAATTGGACATGCCCAAGGTGGGATACTTACAGCTACATCTAGTATATAGAAAGTTTATACAAAATGTTATATAAAATACTATGGAATGTTTATAGCATTAATAAACAACTATCAAATATGATTTAAATGTGAAATATCATCATAACAAAGCAGCCAAGACTGCTTCAGTAAAGAAAAAATTTGATAATTTAAAAATTCCTGATTTAACTGGAAACTGTGATTAAAATTTGATTTTGCAAAAATTTGAAATCAAGTCTTCTGAATTCAAGTTTGATAAAGTTTCAATGTATAGAGAGCATTTATACAACAAAGACATGCATAGATTTACATAATTATACACCATTCTGTTGATTCAAATTATCACAATATACATATAATATTAAGCATCAAAAATACATTGCAACTCCCTAGCTGGCTATGACTTAACTTACATTTTGTCATCTGCCTGTATCTATAATCATATAAAGAAAACAGTCAACTTCCTGTATCAATTTCAACAGTCTGTCAACTTCCTATTTCTATAACAATAGTCTGTCAACTTCCTGTTTCTATAAAAACAGTCTTGTCAACTTCCTATTTCTATAACAATAGTCTGTCAACTTCCTGTTTCTATAACAACAGTCTGTCAACTTCCTGTTTCTATAAAAACAGTCTGTCAACTTCCTGTTTCTATAACAACAGTCTGTCAACTTCCTATTTCTATAACAACAGTCTGTCAACTTCCTATTTCTATAAAAACAGTCTGTCAACTTCCTGTTTCTATAACAACAGTCTGTCAACTTCCTGTTTCTATAACAACAGTCTGTCAACTTCCTGTTTCTATAACAACAGTCTGTCAACTTCCTGTTTCTATAACAACAGTCTGTCAACTTCCTGTTTCTATAACAACAGTCTGTCAACTTCCTGTTTCTATAACAACAGTCTGTCAACTTCCTGTTTCTATAACAACAGTCTGTCAACTTCCTGTTTCTATAACAACAGTCTGTCAACTTCCTGTTTCTATAACAACAGTCTGTCAACTTCCTGTTTCTATAACAACAGTCTGTCAACTTCCTGTTTCTATAACAACAGTCTGTCAACTTCCTGTTTCTATAACAACAGTCTGTCAACTTCCTGTTTCTATAACAACAGTCTGTCAACTTCCTGTTTCTATAACAACAGTCTGTCAACTTCCTGTTTCTATAACAACAGTCTGTCAACTTCCTGTTTCTATAACAACAGTCTGTCAACTTCCTGTTTCTATAACAACAGTCTGTCAACTTCCTGTTTCTATAACAACAGTCTGTCAACTTCCTGTTTCTATAACAACAGTCTGTCAACTTCCTGTTTCTATAACAACAGTCTGTCAACTTCCTGTTTCTATAACAACAGTCTGTCAAGTTCCTGCTTCTATAACAACAATCTGTCAACTTCCTTGTTTCTAGAACAACAGTCTGTCAACTTCCTGTATCTATAGCAACATTCCTTCAACTTCCTGTCTATATAACAATATTTGGTCAACTTCCTGTTCATTAAAAAAGAGTCGGTCAACTTATTGTATCTATAGCAACATTCGGTTAATTTCCTGCATATATAGCAACAGTGATATTCTGCCAAATCACCCAGAATAATCTTCCTAAGGTGGAATTTGTATTTAAATGCAATAACACCACAAAATGGGTTACAAATGCATGCTGAATGGAATTAAACAAAAGCAAGAAAACATTTCAATCAATAACAATAGATTCCCCAATCATACTAAGTAAAACCAAAACATCGCACATTGATAATGCATGCATCATTTGACATTACACAGCTTCACTTGGACATCCTCCCATTACACCTTGGACCTACACCTGGACATCCTCCCACTACACCTTGGACCTACACCTGGACATCCACCCCTTATACCTGGTACCTACAACACCTGGACATCCACCCCTACACCTGGTACCTACAACACCTGGACATCCACCCCTTATACACACCCACCCCTTATACACACCCACCCCTTATACACACCCACCCCTTATACACACCCACCCCTTATACACACCCACCCCTTATACACACCCACCCCTTATACACACCCACCCCTTATACACACCCACCCCTTATACACACCCACCCCTTATACACACCCACCCCTTATACACACCCACCCCTTATACACACCCACCCCTTATACACACCCACCCCTTATACACACCCACCCCTTATACACACCCACCCCTTATACACACCCACCCCTTATACACACCCACCCCTTATACACACCCACCCCTTATACACACCCACCCCTTATACACACCCACCCCTTATACCTGGGACCTTCACCTGGACATCCACCCTTTACACCTGTTTTCTACACCTGGACTTTCACCAGTTACACCTGGTACCTACAACCAGACATCCACCAGTTACACTTGGTACCTACACCTGGACATCCACCAGTTACACCTGGACATCCACCAGTTACACCTGGTACCAATCTACAACCAGACATCTACCACTTACACCTACTACCTACACCTGGACATCCACCAGTTATACCTGGTACCTAAACCTGGACATCCACCAGTTACACCTGGTACCTAAACCTGGACTTTCACCAGTTACACCTGGTACCTACAACTGGCCATCCACCAGTTACACCTGGTACCTATGCCTGGATATCCACCTGTTACACCTGGTACCTACACCTGGACTTTCACCAGTTACACCTGGTACCTACACCTGGACTTTCACCAGTTACATGTACACCTGGTCCCTACACCTTGCCATTGTCCAGTTGACCTCAGGTACCTACACATGGACACCCATCAGTCACACCTGGTACCTAAACCTGGGCAACCACCAGTTACACCTGGTACCTACACCTGGATATCCACCAGTTACACCTGGTACACCTACAACCACACATCCACCAGTTACAACTAGTAGTTACATTTACACCTGGTCATCCACCAGTAACACCTGGAAGTTACACCTGGACATCCACCTATCAGACACACCTACGCACACCTATCAGACACACCTACGCACACCTATCAGACACACCTACGCACACCTATCAGACACACCTGTGCACACCTATAAAACACACCAAGGCACTACTATTGGATACACATGGGCATGCTTACAAACAACATCTGGGAACACCAGTATCACTTCACCAAGCTTTATAGAAATTATATACCAAATCTCATTTAGTTATGATATCAGAGACAACATTGTTGTAATATTTCATAATTATTGAAATTGTGCTTTGCTCTAGAGATTCAAAAAAGTGTAGACCAAGGGAAAAACCATACATACACATACAATTGATGAAAGTTTGGAAAGGAAATAATTAAGACTTTGATCTCGCTTCATTCATAAATCTTGATACAACGGTCATTATGAGCTGAACTAAGTTACACATAATTAACATTATATAGGTATGTTTTGGTATTGAAATGACCAGTGCACTTTCTTCACAGACAAATCTAGACACATGTCAGAACCCCACAATAAACACTATCATACATTTTGCATTCTTTCTTTTTGATGACAGAATACCACAAATGATATTAAAGACAAGATATTAGAAGCATTTGGATCAATAAGTCCAAAGAGCTATAAATAAACAGTTTTATACAACAGGTTAAGTTTTCAAATTCGGGGAAAAGGCCCTTTGCTTTTTTGAGAAAGGTCAATTTCAAATATATATCATGTTTATAGGATACTCCAGTTCAATAGTTTACTTCAAATAACTGTTTCTCTTGAACTTAGTTAAAGAAAAAAAGTTTCTTTTTTCTATGTTCCCTGTCATTGAGGAAAATAATAAGCAATTGGGAACATTTCCAGGGATAATCCTAGAGGGGACCATGGGGCCATTGACCATTCGAAACTGAAATTGACCCCTCCATGTTCCAAGTTTCTTTTAACTTAACATAGAATGGCCCCTCTTGATTTTTATATCAACTAAAAATTGCCCAAATGGCCCACTGCTCTAGAATTTCTAGGGTTTTCCCTGTATTTCCCATCAGAGATAGCTAGGTCCTTCTATCAGCCCCCGAGACACTATAGAAAAAAACCTGAAAGATCAAACTTTGTTTTAGATTTGACCAATGGCTGTAAGTTGTTTCGTTTTGTTTCCTTGACCAAAACTGTGTCTAAATCGTACAGTTCTGATCAAAATGATGTTACTTCAAGCTTTGTATTCTTCACAGCCCTTTTTCCTCTTCCAAAAAAAAAAAAAGAAAATTCGTCAACTCTTTTACAGCTTGTCGTCATCGTGGAAATCATCAGCTGATAGATCATCCTTTTCAAACGGTCTCCTGATTCTCATTTTCTTAATTCTTTTATTGTAGGCGATGCAGGTGATGATAAAACCAAATAGACAGCCTCCCAGAAAACAGCCTACCCCGATACCAGCAGCTTTACCTGAAGATAGAATCATTGTTTAATATTCTTTCCGATATAAGAGAACACAGTACCGAAATTGTTCCCACAAAATACAATGTTAGTTCAAGATAGATAAAAAAAAATCTGTGAAGGTCTATTTTCAATTTTGGTTGGCCCTTAATGACTGAAATTGTCGACAGGTGCATAGGCCGTAACACTTTTCAAAAGGAAAACAAGACAAACACTTCTTCGGACAAGCAATAGATAAGGGTGGGTTCATTACGGCTTATTGCCAGATAAGTATATATGCAGGTACTAAATGAAAAAAATATGTTCCCAATAATTTCATGTTAACTAGTTTATTTAACATTCCCCAACCATTAGATTGAGCAAAGTACCTCTCAATAGCCTCATTTACCTGCCATATCAATCCGTTCAGTCTTCACCGTCGTACCAGTCAAGAAGAGGGTATGGACCATCCAGTTCCAGATCAGACCAATTTCATCATCAGTAGCTTCGATTGTGAGGTCATCCGCCGTCCAGACCACCACACCTGCAATACAAATTCATGAATGGTGACTTCTATTCCCAAAAGAAATCTTTGCCAGTTGTAAGGTCTGTTTACAATCCTTTGCTAGGATCCTTAAAACGACTGAGTGGCATATGTAGGAGAAAAAGGGCTAATTAGGCTTATATTGGTCAGGTCAAATTTATGTTAAAAACTTCATAGATAGCAAGATGATATCATACAAATCAACTACATGTATCATTTCACTACATCTACATCTTACTTTCAATTGTTGGAAGATTAAATTCTTTTGTAAAATTCAAAGGTAATCAAAGTCAATTAGTCAATCATTTGAACGAACTAGATAGCCCTCTTATCCTGTATGCTGCTGGCAATATATCATGACTTAATGCTGCCTGGTTGTAAAAATGAAATTATTTGAACAATTTAACACATTTCACCTTGAAATTGGGTCAAGGTTACTTATTCAAACAAACTGGATAAATCATTTTCCTTAAATAGCATGACCCTTGGGCTTTTGATTGTTTTGAAGAAGTTGTAAGTGGGTCAAAGTTTTTGATTCTAGTAGTCACTGTGGTCCGTCTAGAGTGATGTCTTACTTAGGTGGTAAACGTTAATGTCCTACCTCAGTGGTCAGTCTAGAGTGATGTCTTACTTAGGTGGTAAGCATTAATGTCCTACCTCAGTGGTCAGTCTAGGGTGATGTCTTACTTAGCTTGTCAACATAATATCCTACCTCAGTGGTCCGTCTAGAGTGATGTTTACTTAGGTGGTAAACATTAATGTCATAACTCAGCGGTCAGTCTAGAGTGATATCTTACTTAGCTTGTCAACATAATATCCTACCTTAGTGGCCAGTCTCGAGTGATGTCTTACTTAGGTGGTAAACATAAATGTCATAACTCAGCTGTCAGTCTAGAGTGATATCTTACTTAGCTTGTCAACATAATAACCTACCTTAGTGGTCAGTCTCGAGTGATGTCTTACTTAGGTGGTAAACATTAATGTAATAACTCAGCGGTCAGTCTAGAGTGATATCTTACTTAGCTTGTCAACATAATAACCTACCTTAGTGGTCAGTCTCGAGTGATGTCTTACTTAGGTGGTAAACATTGATGTCCTACCTCAGTGGTCAGTCTAGAGTGATGTCTTCCTTAGGTGGTAAACATTAATGTCCTCCCTCAGTGGTCCGTCTAGAGTGATGTCTATCTTTTAGGTGGTAAATATTAATGTCCTACCTCAGTGGTCCGTCTAGAGTGATGTTTACTTAGGTGGTAAACATTAATGTCATAACTCAGCGGTCAGTCTAGAGTGATATCTTACTTAGCTTGTCAACATAATAACCTACCTTAGTGGTCAGTCTCGAGTGATGTCTTACTTAGGTGGTAAACATAAATGTCATAACTCAGCGGTAAGTCTAGAGTGATATCTTACTTAGCTTGTCATCATAATATCCTACCTTAGTGGTCAGTCTCGAGAGAAGTCTTACTTAGGTGGTAAACATTAATGTAATAACTCAGCGGTCAGTCTAGAGTGATATCTTACTTAGCTTGTCAACATAATATCCTTCCTTAGTGGTCAGTCTCGAGTAATGTCTTACTTAGGTGGTAAACATTAATGTAATAACTCAGCGGTCAGTCTAGAGTGATATCTTACTTAGCTTGTCAACATAATATCCTACCTTAGTGGTCAGTCTCGAGTGATGTCTTACTTAGGTGGTAAACATTAATGTCCACCCTCAATGGTCAGTCTAGAGTGATGTCTTACTTAGGTGGTAAACATAAATGTCATAACTCAGCGGTCAGTCTAGAGTGATATCTTACTTAGCTTGTCAACATAATATCCTACCTTAGTGGTCAGTCTCGAGTAATGTCTTACTTAGGTGGTAAACATTAATGTCCTACCTCAGTGGTCAGTCTAGAGTGATGTCTTACTTAATTGGTAAACATTAATGTCATAACTCAGTGGTCAGTCCAGAATGATGTCTTACCTTAGTGACCACTCTACAGTGATGTCTTACTTAGGTGTTCAACAGGATAACCTAACTCAGTGATCAATCAAGAGCGATGTCTTAATATGGTGGTCAATATTGCGATCCTAACTAAGTGGTCAGTCAAGAGTGGTGTCTTAATATGGTGGTCAATATTGCAGTCCTAACTAAGTGGTCATCAAGAGTGGTGTCTTAATATGGTGGTCAATATTGCGGTCCTAACGAATTTAAGTGGACAGTCAAGAGTGGTGTCTTAATAAGGTGGCCAATATATTGCAGTCCTAACTAAGTGGTCATTCTACAGTGATGTCTTACTAAGGTTGTCAACAGGGTAGTCTACTCAGTGGTCAGTCTAGAGTGTTGTCTTTCTAATGTGGTAAACATTGATGTCTCAACTCAGTGGTCAGTCTAGAGTGATATCTTAATAAGTTGGTCAATATTGCAGTCCTAATTAAGTGGTCATTCTACAGTGATGTCTTACTTAGGTGGTCAACAGGATAGCCTAAATTAGTGGTCAGTCTAGAGTGATTACTTAATGATAAGGTGGTCAATATTGCAGTCCTAACTAAGTGGTCATTCTACAGTGATGTCTTACTTATTAATTAGGTGGTCAACATGATGTCCTACCTTAGTGGTTAGTCTACAGTGATGCCTTAATATGGTGGTCAAATTGGGGTCCTATCTCAGTGGTCATTCTGCAGTGATGTCTTACTTAGGTGGTCAACATGATGTCCTACCTCAGTGGTCATTCCACAGTGATGTCTTAATTAGGTGGTCATTGTAGATATCTGATATTATAAGATGTTGGTCAATACTGAATAAGTGTGTGGGTAATAAAGAGGTCATTAAGACCTATGCTGTCTTAATTTAGTGGTCAGTCCTTAGTGCCTTACCTTCTAGCCCAGTTTCCTTGACTGTCTGATACTTGTCCAATAGACTGTCAATTCCCTCAAACCAGACTGCATGTGTCTCGTTCACAGTCTCGTTCTGGAAAACGATTCAAATGTTCGATAATTCGGCTTGCAATGAACGCTACCATAAGTATCAAGGAGACAACCACATTTCATCAATATCCCAGTTAAATTAAATTTCAAGCACTTTTCAAAGAATTTTTTAACAAATTATTAATTCAAGCCTTTTTCAAGCACTGCCCTGACATTCAAGCACTTTTCAAGCATTGCCCTGACATTCAAGCACTTTTCAAGCACTGCCCTGATATTCAAGCACTATTCAAGCTTTTGATGATGATGAACCATGGCACTGGGTTCATCGTAACAACTTATTTTTAGCGTAGGAAAGTATGGGAGAAAAATAAGCAAGCAATCCTGCTTGATGTAGACAGCCAAATCTAAACCATCTGGATCAGATTTTCTTAAGTTTATCACTAAGAAAATCTTAGCGCTTCAAATTAAAAAAAAAAAAATTGTTTTAAGATTGTTCTGTCTACATCTTACAAAAGTGATAAGTTCTAATAATCATTACCTGGAAATTGGTTGTAAAATATGGAGCTTCCTGCAAACCGTCCCAGTTGTGTTTCTCAAACTGTTTAGGATAATTGGACATGATTTCACCGAGTGACTGGCGAGTACGTGAGCCCTTAAAGTCACACTCGTTTGTACCATTCTTCTTGGCTAGCATACATATTCTTGTTGAATGTTGTGTTGTCTGCAAGATAATCAGAATTCTGTTACTGCTCAAATGTAATGAATCTTCACTCTAGCTTCAGGAATATGTCTGTGGTATCAATATCAATTAAAATCAACATTTTTTTATTTATTTCATGCAAAACAAATGTTCTTAACAAACCCTTAACAGTTCATACAAAGTAAAATTTAAAAGATGACCACCAATGACGGAAGTTACGACTTAAGACACAAACTGACAGAATTACATATAGTGACTAGTTATAACAAGACCACAGGACAAATGGACAGAGAAAACCAGCAGGGAGCAGATGGACAGACTGTTTTAGTGAGACGTAAACAAGACTAGGGAGACAAAAGGACAGACAAAACCAGTGGGGGACAGATGGACAGACTGTTCTAGTGAGTAATAAACAAGACTAGGGGGACAAAAGGACAGACAAAACGAGTGTAGAAGACAGATGGACAGACCTAGCGACAAATTAAAAAAACAAAGGAGAACAAATGGACAGAAAAAACTAATTCAGGGGACAACTGGACAGACAGACCTTAAGTCAGCTGGTTAACAAGACTAAGACAAATGGACAGACAAAAGTAGCTCAGAGGACAACTGGACAGACAGACCTAGTGACAAGAAAATAAGACTAGAAAAACAAATGGACAGACAAAACTAATTCGGCGGACAGATGGACAGACACACCCAGTAACTAGTTAACAAGATTAGTGTGACAAACGGACAGAAACACCCAGTAACTAGTTAAGAAGATTAGGTTGACAAACGAATAGACACACCCAGTAACTAGTTAACAAGAATAGGGTGACAAATGGACAGACATACCCAGTAACTAGTTAACAAGATTAGGGAGACAAACGGACAGACACACCCCGTAACTAGTTAACAAGATTAGGTTGACACACGGATAGATACACCCAGTAACTAGTTAACAAGATTATTGTGACAAATGGTCAGACACACCCAGTAACTAGCTAACAAGATTAGGGTGACAAACGGACAGACACACCCCGTAACTAGTTAACAAGATTAGGTTGACAAATGGACAGACACACCCAGTAATTAGTTAACAAGATTAGGGTGACAAATGGACAGACACACCCAGTAACTAGTTAACAACATTATTGTGACAAATGGTCAGACACACCCAGTAACTAGTTAAAAAGATTAGGGTGACAAACGGACAGAAACACCCAGTAACTAGTTAAGAAGATTAGGTTGACAAACGAATAGACACACCCAGTAACTAGTTAACAAGATCAGGTGGACAAACGGACAGACACACCCAGTAACTAGCAGTAACTAGTTAACAAGATTAGGGTGACAATAATGAAATTTGGACAAAATCCTGTCATTCCTACCAGTAACTAGTTAACAAGATTAGGTGGTCAAACGGACAGACACACCCAGTAACTAGTCAACAAGATTATTGTGACAAATGGTCAGACACACCCAGTAACTAGCTAACAAGATTAGGGTGACAAACGGACAGTCACACCCAGTAACCAGTTAACAAGAATAGGGTGACAAATGGACAGACACACCCAGTAATTAGTTAACAAGATTAGGGTGACAAATGGTCAGACACACCCAGTAACTAGCTAACAAGATTAGGGTGACAAACGGACAGTCACACCCAGTAACCAGTTAACAAGAGTAGGGTGACAAATGGACAGACACACCCAGTAACTAGTTAACAACATTATTGTGACAAATGGTCAGACACACCCAGTAACTAGTTAACAACATTATTGTGACAAATGGTCAGACACACCCAGTAACTAGTTAAAAAGATTAGGGTGACAAACGGACAGAAACACCCAGTAACTAGTTAACAAGATTAGGTGGACAAACGGACAGACACACCAGTAAATAGTTAACAAGATTAGGGTGACAAACGGATAGATACACCCAGTAACTAGTTAACAAGATTAGGGAGACAAACGGACAGACACACCCAGAAACATAACACAAGATTATTGTGACAAATGGTCAGACACACCCAGTAACTAGTTAACAAGATTAGGGTGACAAACGGACAGAAACACCCAGTAACTTAGTTAAGAAGTTTAGGGTGACAAACGGACAGACACACCCAGTAACTAGTTAACAAGATTATTGTGACAAATGGTCAGACACACCCAGTAACTAGTTAACAAGATTAGGGTGACAAACGGACAGAAACACCCAGTAACTAGTTAACAAGATTAGGTTGACAAACGAATAGACACACCCAGTAACTAGTTAACAAGATTAGGGTGACAAATGGACAGACACACCCAGTAACTAGTTAACAAGATTAGGTTGACAAACGGATAGATACACCCAGTAACTAGTTAACAAGATTAGGGTGACAAACGGACAGTCACACCCAGTAACTAGTTAACAAGATTAGGGTGACAAATGGACAGACACACCCAGTAACTAGTTAACAAGATAATGGTGATAAACGGACAGACACACCCAGTAACTAGTTAACAAGATTAGGGTGACAATAATGAAATTTGGACAAAATCCTGTCATTCCTACAGAAGAAGGATTTTGAAAACAATTGATATTTTTACCCTATTGGGCCCTGCCCCCAGGGAGGTCAGACCCACCGTTTATACAAAATAAAGTCTCCTTCACCAAAGGATGCTTTAGACGGACAAAATCCTGTCATTCCTTCAGAAGAAGAATTTTCAAGAACTTGCTAAATTACCCCTATTAGGCCCCATCTCTCAAGACCCAGGAGGGGTCAGACCCACCATTTATACAAAATTCATTTCCCTTCCCAAAAGGATGCTACTGTTCAAATTTGGTCAAAACACCTTCCTCCCAACTGAAGAAAGGAATATCAAAGTTATTCCTCTATATCCCTTATTGGACCCTGCCCATCTGCCCTGCTCATTTTTTATACAAAATTCAGTCCCTTTTGCCCAAGGATGCTCCAGACCAAATTGGGATGATATCCCGTAATCCCTATGGTAGGTGAAGGATTTCAAAGGTTTACCTCTATTTTCACTATTGGGCCCCACCCATCTGCCCCCACCCTATATATACAAATTTAAGTTTAAACCCTTGACCAAAGGTAGCTCCAGACTAAATTAGGATAAATTCCCTTAATCCCTTCAGTATAAGAAGGATTTTGAAGGTTTTACCTTTATTTCCCCTATTGGGCCCTGCCCCTATGCCCCCAGGGGGGCCACACCCACCATTTACACAACATTGAGTCCCCTTGGCCTAAGGATGCTCCAGACCAAATTTAGTCAACATCTACTGGGCCATTCAGGACTAGTAGCGTTTTAAAGTTGACGGAAGGACGGACGACGGACGGACGGACGACAGACAGACGCTGCAGTATGGCATAAGCTCACCATGGTCCAGGTGAGCTAAAAACAGAAGGCACAACTGTCTGGAAAATAAAGCAATTTGCCAAACAATCCGGCTAAGGATTGTAAAATTCCATTAGCCTAATGTCTTTGGTTTGTAAATTAATTATACTTCAGGAATGGTAAACTTTTCAAAATATAATATGAAAAATAGTTGGGCCGGTAAAACAAAATCCAAAATCTGCATGGCGCTAGGGCTTGTATGCTAAATAGGTTATTGTACACACCTGACTTCATATTGCACATTTCTATATCATGGTATAAGATTGATCGAGCACTCACCACCATTGTATCACATTTGAAGTCATACCCGTGCCACGGAACACCCATCAACATTTTGCTTTTCGGAACACCAACAGACAGGTACTCGTCAATGCCTTCACAAAAAATTAAGTTGTCATCTCATTACCGTTAACTCATTCACCCCTGAAATTTCATAATGAACTATTTCAAACTTTGAATCAGAAGAGTCCAAATGTGTCTTCAGGGGTGAATGCGTTAAATTAAACTCTTGAAGCCTTCATCAATCTTTTCCTCAATCTTTTCTCATTTATATATAAATGTCTCAAAAATCAAACTGGTGTATTCCTTTCTTTTATATACATATATATGAATCTTACTTTTCAAAATTTTAAACTATAAAATAATCATTAAAATATTTCTAGCTCAACAAATGTTTTGCAATTTCAATTAATTTCCACTCAGATTTTAAAAAAAACATGTCAAAATCATAAAACATTGTTAAAGTTTCCTCGAGATACAAACATGAAAACATTTAGACTTTACCTACAACACTATATATATATAGGGGACTGTATCATTTAATGGGACAGGACAGGATGTCAGAATAGGCAGTGTTAACCCTTTCACCCATAGGTAACTTTAGTAGACTCTACCATACATGTATTTTGGCATGTCAATTTTGGTCTACAGTGGTGAAAGGGTTAAAGATAGAAGAACAAATGGTTATAAAAATTTTCCATAAACTGAACTTTGAAGATTTGAATTTCTCGTTGTGTCGAAATTATGGCACAGTCCAGATTTCAGTCCTGATTTAAAACACTACTGATATTCAATTTATGAATCAAGCTTTCATAAAATTGAATTTCCGCTGTTTGGAACTACAATCAAGGTCAAATCGTTATGTGAATATTGTTAATTGGAACTAATTAATTAAACTAAAACAAGTACATGTACCTGTTCGAGATCATTGAAATGTACGGGGTCATTTTAAAATCTAAACATGTTAAAATGACCCCGTACATTTCAATGCTTTTCTAATTACATTAAATCTAATATATTTATATTTCAGATTAAATGTCTTGCCTTGTGTTTCCTCACTTAACAATCACAGTATAAACCAGATATCAAAGGAGTTCAACATTCAAAAGTTGAAGTTTCAATATTTCCAATTTTTCCTAATGGTCTCCCACAGTTCAAAACATGGAAGTTTGACTGTAGTTTGTGAAACAGTAAATTCCTACCTAGCACCATTCGACCCTTTGGGATGGTAGCTTGTGCCCGACACTGTAGGTTGCAGGAAGTGATGAAGCTATCTGGGTTTGTAACAAAGTAGTCACAATATTTAATAATTTCTGACGTCAGGTGGCACTGTCCTTGGTAGCAGGGTGGCATCCACGGAACAATACAGAAGAGCTACAATCAAGGGAAATAATTGTTATTATAATGGTGCCCAAGGGGCCTGTATCGCTCATATACTACCATAAGCTATTGAAAATGTTGGCAAAATAACATTAATAAATAATTAGTAAGATAATAATGTCATACTGTGTAGTGTAATTTCATTGCGACATCATACTTCACAACAGAAATAATGTGTACTGCTTTGAAATCAACAAGCAAAAAGTGATATGTAGATTATCATGATAAACCATTATTGAGGAGCCTCTATATGAACCTTAAATAAAGATCGATGATTACGTCGGCTGCAACACAGACTTTGTCAGTGAAAGGCAGACAATCAACCCATCAACTAACCAACCAATCAATGATTACTTTATTAAGACATACAGTATGTGATTTACTCTTCAGCTGGAGTAACTCCAAAATTCTGCACTGGAATTGGAACAGGAGTCCAAATCCATATCATATTAGCCATCATTATTTATGAATATGCTAATGATTTGTTATAATGATATTTTAACTCATCTTATATTAGTCATTCTAACACCATTTGTTTGCAATGCATGTTTTGATTGGATACAGACCATGTTCTTATCTGCGATAGAATCATGATCAATGGTGTTAAGCTCCTCCCATCACACTTAAGCCACGCCCCCTTTCTAACCAAAACAATATGGCATCAAGCTCGCCTCTTAGCAAAATCCGGCTTGCAGGCAACAGAACAGAAAGGACAGATGAAATGAATTTGTTGAATAAATTAAAAAGTGAAAATTCCTTGTTCTTACCAAAAATCAAAGGAAACATTTCACATGTGTCATATGAATTAACACAAAACTCTCCACAAATCTAAACAAATAATCACCGATTTTGTCGGTATTCACAGATTGGCATGCAAGCATACAATCTACTTAAAATTATATCTTCACATCGCTCCCGTTTACCGATATGTCACGACAATTATCAGTAAACGGGAGTGATGTGAAGATATAATTTTAATAAATTGGCATACAAACTGACATGGAAATGTTAGAATTTGGTCAATATTAATACAAACGTGTCGTTTAAACTTTGGCAACAGGACGTTCACAAAATATTCCGCCTCGTCAACATACAGATCAAGCGCTCGCCAGTATGGACAGGGCCAAATGACAGACTTTTGAAAGCTTATTTCTGATTGGTCAGTCCGCTGTAGAATGATAGGTCGCCAGCACAGGTCACAGAGTACTTTACTATGTACTTGTAGCAAGGAAAATACAATGTTTCTAAACATGTTAGCATAGAATATTTATTAAGGTGTGTTAGAATGGGGACAGTACCTTGTTTTTCGTGTCTATACTGGCGACTATAACATAAAATTTGGTTTGAACTCGAGACCAAACATTCATATATCTACTACTATAAACCAATCACAGTAAAGGTAACTTACATTACATATACACCAATCAGAATGAGGGTAACATCTTTTACACCAATGAAAATGAAGGTAATTTAGGATAACGTAATATTTTTTGACATAACTAATCAGAATGCGGGTTACACAATTTTTCATAAGGATGATTAATGATTACGCAGTGATTAATTCCCCTTTTACTTTATTAAACTCATTCCTTATCCATATTCACAGCAAAGTGCCCCAACGTAATCAACCCACATACCTGGCTGACACCCCTGGCTCTATGCCCCTGGAGTTTAATCAGAATGCAGATTTATTTACCATGTATGACACGTACACAAAGTCATGAAATAAACAAAATATTATTATATCTTTTATTTTCATTAGTTTTCTAATTTATTTATTAATGTTCATTTTAGTTCAAAAATATCTTTAAGCTTAGGAATTGACAATACAACTCTGTTGTGAAGCCTATATATACAGAGTGTAGCAGGTTATATTATTTACGTGGGTTTAAATTTTCACAATCATGAAAATAATTTACACGCACTATAATTTCACGATCTAGACATTTGAAAGAGCTAAAATTTCACAGTGTTTTGGCAGAGACGGGGACACTTAGCATAAAAAGCGTCTTATAATGCATTTTGTTACACAATTCATCAAGAAAACTTCATTTGTGTGACAATTTACCTATTTTCAGAATATCATTTTTTTATACATACATGTATATGAATCGTTACAACCATGTATGTGCTTTTTCATAATGACATCAGGATTATGAAGTTTATCGTCGTCACAGGTCATTTTAACGCTTGTCACATTATTCTGTGGATCATATATGTTCACAAAGCATTAACATAATTACCTGCGAATTGCGAAGATATCATCCACACGGATATACATATACATCTTGCCATACTGTACTAGATAAGAGCTTACTTTTAAAACGGAATTTCACCATCATTTAATGTTTGAACTGTACAAACCTTTGGCCATCCTTCTGTCTTGATTTTGCGATAAACCTGGGCAACAGCATCAGTGACAATATCAACATGCTGGGCATCAACTTGGCACTGCCCCATCAGGCTGAGCAAGTTGACTGCAACTCCATCGGCATACATTGACGTGGCACGGTTCCCTATTTTTTCTACCCAGTCCGAGTAATTACTATTGTTGGTGTAGTTATCGTAGACCGGCATCTCCTCTGAAACATCACACACAGAGCTAAGCTAAATTATCTACAAGTCATTAACAGGCATCTCCTCTGAAACATCACACACAGGGTTTAACTAAATTATCTTCAAGTCATTAACAGGCATCTCCTCTGAAACATCACACACAGGGCATAACTAAATTATCTACAAGTCATTAACAGGCATCTCCTCTGAAATATCTCACACAGAGCTTAGCTAAATTATCTACAAGTCATCGACCGGCATCTCCTCTGAAATATCACACACAGAGCTAAGCTAAATTATCTACAAGTCATAGACCGGCATCTCCTCTGAAATATCTCATACAGGCCTATGGTTTAATTAAGTTTTCTACAAGTCATTAACAGGCATCTCCTCTGAAACACCACACACAGGCTTTAACTAAATTATCTACAAGTCATTAACAGGCTTCTCCTCTGAAACATCACACACAGGGCATAACTAAATTATCCAAAAATCATAGACCAGTATCACATGTATAAAACTGAAACTCGTATTTGATTGGCTATAAGATTTTACAAGAGCATACCCATAATGGTGTATCCTACGCCAAGTGAATGTGCGTGACACATGAGTTTGTCGTTGTCAGCTCCTTCGTTGAGAACCATGGTGATATGATCCCAGTGCCACTTGTCATAGGGGGACTTTCCTTCCGTCACCACATACGCCTGCAAAATATATTGTGTCGTACCATAACATATATATATATATATATATGTCTAAAATTCCAATTTGAAATGTTCATCCTTTAATTAAGTTTCTTTTTTTTCTTCCTTTTTTTCCAATGAAAACCAAACTTACAATTTCTAGATGCATGAAAAGTGATTTTTTATATTAATACTGAACATTTAATGTTTTATCTCTCCCCCCCCC